TTTTTATTCCATCAATTCCTGTTGCTTTGTTCTTTGGAAATTCCTTCAATGCACCTTTGACTCCCTCCTTCAGTATCATTGGCTCTTAATTATATGCTACCTCTTGAAATGATTGAACATCAACTATTTCTTTTCAATACAGTGACTCTGTGTATTCCTTCCATCTTCTTTTGATGCTTTCTGCATCATTCAATAATTTGCCCAGAGAATCCTTCAGTAACAAGTTGAGGCTTGAATTTTTTCTTCATTTCTCCCAGCTTGAGAAATGCTGAACGTGTTCTTCTTTTTGATTTTCTGACTTCAGATCTTTGCACCTTTTGTTGTAATATTTGGCTTTATCTTCTCAAGCTGACCTTTGAAATTTTCCGTTCAGCTCTTGTATCTCCTTATTTCTTCCATTTGATTTAGCATCTCTATGCTGGAGAGCAAGTTTCAGTGTCTTTTCTGAAATCCATTTTGATCTTTTCCTGCTTTATTGTCTTCTTAATAAATTTTTGTTTTCATCTTGTATGATGTTCTTCATGTCATTCCACATCTTCTGGTCTTCAGTCTTTAGTGTTTAATGTATCAAATTTGTTCTTCAAATGATCTCTAAATTCAGGTGGGATATATTCAAGGTCATATTTTGGCTCTTGTGGACTCGTTTTCATTTTCTTCAGCTTGAGTTTGAATTTGCATATGAGCAATTGATGGTCTGTTCCACAATTTGCCCCTGACCTTGTTTTGACTGATGCTATGGAGCCCTTTCATTGTCTCTTTCTGTATATGTAATCACTTTGATTTCTATGTATTCCATCTGGTGAGGTCCATGTGTATAGTCATCTCTTATGCTATCTAAAGAAGGTATTTGAAATGAACAAATTGTTGGTTTTGCAGAACTCTATCATGTGATCTCAGGCATCATTTTCTATCACCAAGGCCATATTTTCCGACTACTGATCCTTCTTCTTTCTCCCAACCATTGCATTCCAATCACTAATAATGATCATCACATCTTGATTGCATGTTTGATCACTATCAGATTGAAGAAGTTGGTAGAATTCTTCTATTTCATCCTCACTGACTTTAGTGGTGGGTGCATAAGTTTGAATAATAGTGGTATTAACTGGGCTTCCTTGTAGGCCCATGGATATTATACTAACACAGACAGTGTTGTACCTCATGACTGATCTGGATATGTTCTTTTTGCCAATGAATGCAAAACCATTCCTCTTCAATTTGTCATTCCCAGCATAGTAAACCAAGTGGTTGTCAGATTCAAAATGGCCAATACTAGTCCATTTCAGCTCACTAACGCCTAAGATATTGATGTTTATGCATTCTATTTCTTTTTTGACAATTTCTAATTTTCCTAGATTCATACTTCATACTTATTCTGATTATTAATAGATGTTTACAGCTGTTTCTCTTCATTTTGAATTGTGCCCCTTCAGCAAATGAAAGTCCCAGGAGCTTTTCTCCCACAAGCTTTACTCCATTCACATCATCACCGTCAACTCTACTTTCAGGAGGCAGCTCTTCCCCAGCCTCATTTTGAGTGGCTTCCAAACTGAGTGGCTCATTTTCCGGCTCTATATATGACAGTGTTTCTCTGCTATTCATAAGGTTTTCAGTGACTAAATATTTGGAAGTAGTTCGTCACTCTTTCTTCCTAGTCTGTCTTTGTCTGGAAGCTCATCTGTCACCTGTCCACCATGGGTGATCCTGCTGGTATTTAAAATACCTGTGGAATACCTTCCAGAATCACAGCAACTCACACATCACCACAGTACAACAAATTGACAGACAAATGGTGCCACTGATCTTTTTTTTTCCCATTTAATATTTGATGACTTCCAATTTTCCTAGATTCAAACCTTTTACATTCCACATTTCTGCTTATTACCGTTGCAGTTTTGTCTTTTCATTTTGATTTATGCCCATTAGCAAATGGAGGTCCTGAAAAGCTTTGCTCAGCCCGTGTCATTATGATCAACTGTACTTTGAGGAGAACGTTCTTCAGTCATATTCTGAATGTCTTCCAACCTGACGAGCTTATCTTCCAGTGCTACATCAGACTATGTCCCACTGACATACAGGGTGGCTATGAGTTGGAACCAACCTAATGGCACTTAACAACACACATAAGCTTTTTAGTGGTTAACCTTACAAAAGTAGTCAGACTCGCCTTTCTTTTAGTATCTTAGTCTAAAACTTCCACTGAAGTTCCTCTACCATGGGTGACTGGGAAGTATTTGAAATACCAGTAACATTGCTTCCAGTATCACAGCAATATGCAAGTCAGGTCACTATGGTACTACAAACCGACAGACAAATGGTGGTCTTAAGAGACTGGAAAAGCTGTACCAGCTACAGAGAATGGAAACAACATACATATTTGTATATATACTTTCTATTGTTGTTAAGTGACTTCTTATAGTGATACTTTGTAGGGTTTCCGGGGAGTGGCTGGTGGGTTTGAACTGTCCATATGTAGCTAGCAGCCCAGTGTTTATCCTATAATGTCACATCAGGACTCGTACACTATATGTAGTATATGTAATATTGTCAAATTACATTGCTTTCCTAGAAAAAAATTATATTTTTAGAGAATGTTAAAGATAGGTAATATAAAAATCAAAATTACATTATATTTTACTTTATCTATGCTGAGGAATTTAATAAACTATTTCTTGTTAGCTATTCTTGTCATTCATATAATTATGTGTGGGATCTCCATGTCTCAGAACCAACTTGATGGCAAATGGTATTTGGATTTGATTTTATTAAACAACTTTATCTATCTCAGGAATATTGTTTAATTTTAGGCATTCGAGTGGTATCAAGATTTTTAGCAACTGTAGTATGCATAATTATGCATATTTTATTTCAAAATTTGAGCCTAAATGTCTGCAGAACTTTCTCCATTTGCAACCATTACATAAAAATCAAGCATTGTGTGGAAATGGGATTCTGGAACCTAATGAAGAATGTGACTGTGGCAATAAAGAAGTGAGTAATAAAATTAAATTGAATTTTTATGCATGCAATAAAAAGTAGTCATAGTACTTATGAAGTAATATATGCAGCTACATTTTCTAAATATATTCAAAATATGAGATCTTTTGAATTTAGCAAATGATTAACTCTTGAAGACTTGATTTGTACAAATTGTTCCCAACTATGCTAAGAGTTCACTTTAGAATATATGAGCTAAAAGAAATTTTTTTTAATTCACAACTCAGTTCCTAACTCATATAACTTATTATATATTCTTCAAAATGCAGTTTAAAAATTTCTATTTTTTGTGGGATTTGAGAATGCCAAAACATTATAATTAATTCCTCTTAATCATTCTGAAATATTCCTTCATATCTGTTTCTCAATGATTAAAACTTGTTTTATGCCTTCATTTCTAAATATAGAAGTGCAGTCTATTATAGCTACACTAAGGAGCCTTGGTGGCCCAAGAGTCAAAGCTCTTCATTGCTAGCTAAAACATTAGAGGTTTGAACCATCATCTGTTACAGAGCAGAAAAACATGACAATTTACTTCCTTAAAAATGACAGCCTTGGCAACCCTATGAAGCAGTTCTATTCTGTCTATAGTGTCACTATTAGTGACAATTGACTGAATGGTAATGGTTGTTTTTCTTTGTTTGGTTATGTTGTTTTTTGGCATAATTACATTAACCAAATATACAATACACACTATTCTCAAACAAGTAGGACCATGTATTTATTATAAATATAAGAGTTTATGATATTTAGCAATATCCTTCTATGTAAATAATTTCTTAATGATTAATCTGTAACCTACAACAATAATTTCTTATTCTCCTATAAAATAGCTGATCACTACATAGCACACATTATCTATTAAATCTAATAGTGTCTGAATAAGTTGTGACCAGCTATTTAAAAATTATATTAATCAGTGTCCATTCCTCAAAATAAAACACATATATACAAACATGCATGTTTCCACATACGTAAATATAGTTTTTCTTATCTTAAGTGTTTCAGTGCATCTCAGTTTTCTGTTAAGTTGTATGTGCACATCCTTCTTTCTCCTAACCCCAAATTTAGTGTCATGTCATTTATCTAGTTTTTAATGAAGACTAGAATAGAGCAACACATTTCACATTCTGAGTTTCCACAACTAAAAGTTGTAGGTTGATTGACAAGTATAGCACTTGTATCCACTGAGCAAGTCTTCACTATTTCTGAAAAGTGTTTTTACTGAAAACACCTATACCTGAGACTTTTTGCTGGTGTTCTTCCACTGGTCTCAGGAACATGTTTAGTTCACAAGAAGAATGGGTTCAATGTGCTTGGGAACTAATGAAAAGCCTTCAGTTCATTATGATAATTAAATGGTAGATAAAGTCCCAGTTTCCTTTCCCATTATGAGGAAATTGTCTAAGGAATGCTCTGCATCACAGACCGACAAACTATCACCAGTGAGCCAAATCCAGTAGAGTGAGATTTTTGCAAATAAAGTTTTATTGGACTGCAACCCTGTCATTTCTTTGAATATCATCTATTACTGCTTTAGTACTACAACGGCAGAATCAAATAGTTACAATGGAGCCTATAGTACACTTAAAACTGAAAATCAAGTCACTAACCATTGTCGGTTTGTTACACTATGTGGTGGCTTATGTGTTGCTGTGATGCTGGAAGCTATGACACTAGAGTTTTAAATACTACAGGGCCATTTATGGTCTACAAGTTTCAATGATGCTTCCAGACTAAGACAAACTAGGGAGAAAGAGAGGCATACATATGAATAATTACCCACTAAAAACCAGATGAATAGCAGGGCAACGTTGTCTGCTACACTACCTGAAGATGAATCCCTGAGGTTGGAAGGTACTGAAAATATGAATGAGAAAGATTGACCCCTTAAAGGAGAATTGATCTTCATGACATGGATAGAACAAAACTTTGGAACCTTTATATGCTGACAGGATACTCCTCAAAATGAGAGGCAGCAGCTGCAAATATCCATTAATAATCAGAACATGGAAGGCATAATGTACAAATCTAGGAAAACTAGAAGTCATAAAAAAAATGAAATGGATAACATAAAAGATAGATACCCTAGATATTTGAGAACTTAAATGGGTTGGTATGACCATTCTGAATCAGACATTCATATGACTATGTTGAAATGACAAATTGAAAAAGCTGCCTTCACATTCATCATCAGAAAGAGCATTTCAAGATCTATCTTGAAGTACAATACTTTTTGTGAATAGAATAATCTCCATAAGTTTAAAAGAAAGACCAGTTAATACCACGGTTTTTAAATGTACAAACCAACCACGAAAGACAATGATGATGAAATTGAAGAATTCTATCAACTTCTTTGAGTCTTGTAGTGGTGCAGTACGATAAGCACTTGACTGCTAACCACAAGGTTGGCAGGTTCAAACTCACCCAGCTGCTCCTCAGAAACACTATATAGGATGGCTATTAGTACTAATTTGATGGCACTTAACAACAAACCTCTTCAGTCTGAAACTGATAAAATATGCTATCAAGATGCATTAATAATTACTGGTGATTGGGATGTAGAAGTTGGAAGCAAAAAGGAAGGATCTGTAATTGGAAAATATGGCCTTCGTGATAGAAAAATGCTAGAGGTCTCAGCATAGAACTTAGCAAGATAAATGACTTATTCATTGCAAATGACTTTTTCAACAACATGAAAGGCAACTTATACACATGGACCTCACCAGATGGAATACTAGAGTCAAATTGACTATACCTGTCCAAAGAAATGATGCAGGAGGTCAATATCATTAGCTAAATAAAGACCAGGAGTCAGCTTTGAAACAGACCATATATTGCTCATAGGGACTTTCAAGCTAAGGCTGAAGAAAATTTGAACAAGTCCAGAAGAGCCAAAATATGACCAGGACTATGTCCCACTTGGGTATAGAGACCATCTCAAAAACAGATTTGATTCATTAGATGCCAATGATTGAAGACTGGAAGAATTGGGAGATGTTATCATGAACATCAAACATGAAGAAGGCAAAAGGTCATTTAAAAAGACAGGAAAGAAAGAAAAGAGAAAAATGGAGGTCAGAACAGATTCTGAAACTTGCTCTTGAATATAGAAAAGCTAATGCAACTTTCAGAAATGATGATGTAAAATATCTGAACAGAAAATTTGAAGGGCTGTTCTAGAAGAGACAGTTAAGTATTACAATGCAATTTGAAGAGAACTGGAGTTTAAAAAGTAAAAGGTAGGAACATGGTCAGCATTTCTCAGGCTGAAAGAATTGAAGAAAATATCCATGCCTCAAGTTGTAATAGTCAAAATATTGAATGACACAAGAGACATCTAAATAAGATGCAAGGAATGCATAGAGAGTCACAGTACCAAAAATAATTTATCCATGTCCAATCATTATAAAGAGTCCTGGTGTGGCACTGTGGGTTAATGCACCAAACTGCAAAGCCATTTGAACTGCAAGGTTGGTGGTTCAAACTCACCAGCTGCTCCCCGGAAACCCTGTATAGGGTCGCTATGGGTTGGAATTGACTCGACAGCATGTAACAACAACAATCATTATAAGAGGTAGCATATGAACAAGAACTTATGGTATTGAAGGACTTAGCCCAAGAAGCACTGAAAGCACTGGCAAAAAAAAAAACAAGGCTCAAGTAATTAATTAACACAATTTGAAATATTTCAACAAAGGGATGCAACACTGTAGAAACTCACTTATCTATGCCAAGAAATTTGGAAAACAGCTACCTGACTAACCAATTTGAAGAGATCCCTATTTCTGCCATGCTAAATAAAGCTGACCCAACAAAATGCAAAAATATCAAACAATATTGTCAATATACCATGCAAGTAAAATTTTGTTGGAGAAAATTTAAAAATGGTTGCAGTAGTACATCAAGAGGGAACTGCCAGAAATTCTAACTTGATTCAGAAGAGGACATGGAACAAGGGATAGCATTGCAAACATCAGTTGAATCTTGGCTGAAAGCAGAGGATATCAAAAATATGTTTACTCAATTGTCCCTACTTTTTCATTTTTGATCTTTATAGTTCTACCTTTTACATTTAAGTCTTTAATCTATTGTTTTTGTATATGGTTTGAGATCATGGGGCCTATTTAATTTTTCTGCAAATGGATATCTAGTTTTGCTAGTACCATTTGTTAAATAAAATACCTCTTCTCAATTTATTATATTTTGCATAAAATCTTCAGCTTTATATGAAAAAGAAAGAGACTCCAGATAATTGAAGAACTACTAAAGAAGCAGCACAGAGTAGGATATCTCATACTTCCTAATCTCAAAACATACTATACATTACCATTTATTCAAAATAGTCTAGTATTGGTTCAATAACAGACCCATAGACTCTACATAGAACAGAATTATTAAAACAGAAGTAAATCTATTCTCGTATGGACAACTATGGGCTCTTGATGTGGCACTGTAGGATAAGCACTGGACTGTGAACCACATGGTTAAAACCCACTAGCTCTTCCTTGAAAACCCTCTACAGGTTTGCTATGAGCTGGAACAAATGAAACAGCACTTAACAACAATAGTCATATCCACCACTTGTCTATCACTTTTTAAAACTGTAACTGTTTGTGTGTTGTGATGCTGGAATTGTGATGCCACAGTGGACAGATTTCAGCAGAGCTTCCAGCTAAGACAAATAGAAAGAAGGAGCGTTAGACTACTTGTGAATGGCTAGTCAATTAAAAACTCATGAACAACAATGGAACATTACGTAGTGCCAAAGATGAGCCCCTCAAGTCGAAAGGCACTTAAAATACTACAGGAGAGGAACTGATCTTAACAATATGAATAGAAATAAAATTTGGGGATCTTCATTTGCTGATAATGCATAATTCAAAATGAGAAGAAACAGCTACAACCATCCATTAATAATCAGAATAAAGAATTTAAGAAATATAGATGAGGAAAATAGAAAGTTGTTAAAATGAAATGGAATGCATAAAGTT